TAGTTCTCAAGTGATGTTCATGTTCAAGTCTATCTTTAGAGTATATCAAAATATCATCGATGAAGACTACAACAAAATCATCAAGGTAGGTTTTAAAAATTCTATTCATTAAGTCCATAAATGCTGCCGGAGCATTAGTTACTCCAAATGGCATAACAAGAAACTCAAAATGACTATACCTTGTTCTAAACGTTGTTTTCTCAACATCTTCTGCCTTTACTTTCAATTGATGATAGCCGGACCTCAAATCAATCTTAGAAAACACCTGTGATCCCTGCAACTGGTCAAATAAATCATCAATACGGGGTAAGGGATACTTGTTCTTTATTGTTACCTTGTTTAATTCCCGGTAATCGATGCACAAACGCAAAGTTCCATCCTTCTTTTTCACAAATAGTACCGGTGCACCCCAAGGTGAAGTGCTAGGTCGGATAAACCCCTTGTCAAGGAGGTCTTACAACTATTCCTTCAATTCTTTCATCTCGGCGGTAGCCATCCTGTAGGGAGTTTTAGAAATGGGCTGGGTGCCTGGCACAGTTTCGATAGTAAACTCTATCTCCCTGTCTACCAATTCCCCTAGTAATTCATTTGGAAACACATCTGGAAATTCTCTAACAATGGGAATATTATTCAATTCAACATTCACAGATTATTCAGTCAGCACATAGCACAGATAACCCTGGCACCCCTTCCTGATCAGTTTACATGCTTTCATTGCAGATATCAAATAAGGTGGAGACACTACCCCATTACCCACAAACACAATCTCTTTCTGTTCTGGTGGTTTAAACACAACCCTTTTTGTCACACAGTCTATGGTGGCACAATATTTGGTCAATGAATCCATGCCCAAAATCACATCGAAATGCCTAAAGTTCAAAGGCAACAAATCTACATATAGGGTAGCGTTTTCAATATGCATGTCACAAAACCGATATATGGATTCACATAACACAGATTCCCCCGAATGGAGCAGACACACATAACAAATATGGCAATAACTCTAGGGGTCTATTCAATATAGATGCAAATGTACATGTCACAAATGAGTGTGTTGATCCAGAATCAATTAATACAAAGGCATCCTGATTACATATTGAAATAGTTCCTGAGACAACTGCATTGGCATTCCATGTATCGCCCGGAACAAGCGCAAAAACTCTCCCCTGTCTCACAGTATCCTCGGTAGTAGCGGGTCTCAAAGTATTTCTCGGCTTTGGAACTGATGCAGTTGAACTAGCTGCTAGTTTCCCACTGTTCTGATTACATTCTTGGGCTATGTGCCCTTGCTTCCCACATTTGAAATAGGCTCCTGATGCACGGTAATAGACTCCACGGTGCTTTTTGCTACAGATATTGCACATGAGAGCTGTGTCTCAAGAAGAATTTGAAGTAGCTGAGGAGCCCGTGTTTTGCTTTTTCAGAAATTTCTTCTTCGAAAAAAAGCCTTGCCTTTTGTTGCCTTTCCATTCTGTTATTGGCTTAGCTTGTCTAGCTATGTTAGCCTTTGATATGATGGCCCTGTCTAGCACCTCATACTCAGCCACTGTCATGCTATCTTGCTTGAGTTCCATGAATTCCGCTACTTTCCTATCCCGGACGCATTGTGGAAAGTACTTGTCATAGAATATTTCTAGAAACTTTACCCAGTCAACATCCTTATGATTTTCTCGCATCAACATCCACCATCTTCTTGCTTCGTCTTTTAGCATAAAAGTGGCTGGAAGCACTTTCTGAGTCTCTGAACAGGGGAACACTTCAAATAGTTTCTCAATGCCGAGGACCCATGCTTCAGCTTTCAACGGATCTAATCCCCAGTGGAACTGTGGTGGTTTCATTTTCTTGAATTCCTTGGTGAGAGCTATAATCCGGTCATCATTCTGATTATTTGGTACGAGTGGTGCCGGAGGTGGAGGTGGCGGGTGTGGTTGCTGCTACTGTTGTTGCCACTCTTGTTGCTGTCTCAAAGCTTCTTCTATTTCTTGGATCAGTCTTTCCATTCTGTCTATTCTGGCAGTAGAGGACTCCTCTATCTCATCACCTCTGGTTCTCACCATCTGATTAAACTTGCATTATATTTTATACAAAAGGTACAAAAGTATGCACATACTAAGAAGCACATACACTCAGATAATTTACAATGCAAGTAGTTCGCAATTAACAACATATAATTGTTCATATCCAAACATTTAAGCATGTAATCAATGCTTCCAAATTCATATTTATCACATGAATGCATCCTAGATCTCATCTAGACGCTTATTGCTCTTTTTGGACAAGTGTGTGAGTTATTAACTCGTGCTCTGATACCACTCTGTCATGACCCGAACCCGCCCCTATGGGTTAAGGACATAACCGGCCAGTAATCCTGAGATTACCTACGGCCTCAAACCAAAACAGACATAACTCATCAGAGTAAAGGGGCCAAACGGGAGCAAAATTTAAAACTTTGTCCATAAAGCCGTGCTTATATGTACATCAAAACAAACCATACTCATATACGTTAATAACCCACATCAAAAGTACAGTGCCATAAAATTCTTTACAGACAAGATCATCCAAACTAAGTCAACCCATAACAGACTATATACAAATATACGCAAAGCCCTTCCCAACGTGACAAAATACAATACATAACAAAATGGCAAGGTTGGTTCTCATGCGTGAGACACAGGGGCTGACTCTCCAAAACCTTTGTTGTTCCTGACGGACTTCACTGGGGCTGGGTTTGGACCTCCCTTGGCTCACCTACAAACACATGAATGAGCGTGAGCGATAGCCCAGTGAATAATATCAAATATAGAAGTTGCATAAACAATATGTAGAACAACATGCTCCAAACGGCCTTGGGCCCAATTCATATTTCTACTTAACATATATACACTTGTACACAATTTTGATCAAGCGACTGTAGTTCCCAACGTGCTGGCCTTTGGCCCATTTAGATTTCTATTCATGTCAAAACAGCCTTTGGCCCATTCAGATTTCCATTCATGTCAAAACGGCCTTCGGCCCATTCAGATTTCCATTTATGTCAAAACGGCCTTCGGCCCATTCAGATTTCCATTCACGTCAAAACGGCCTTCGGCCCATTCAGATTTCCATTTATGTCAAAACGGCCTTCGGCCCATTCATTTCTGTCAGAACGGCCTTCGGCCCACTCATTTACGTCAAAACGGCCTTCGGCCCATACATTTCTGTCAAAACGGCCTTCGGCCCATACCTTTCCGTCAAAACGACCTTCGGTCCGTTCATCTGTGTCAAAACGAATTTCGGTCCATTTATTTATATCATGTCAAACTTACGTCCACAATCCCAATTAGCAACTCATAAAGCTTATAAGGGAATAAACAATTAGACATTGACAAGCTTTCAAATATCGATATTACTCACAATGATCGACTTGTGGATTTTCTCTGGAGCTTAACCCTACACATTTCATGAACACAAAAGGGTCACTAACAGTTCAATCTGTTCTTTAACTCACATATTCCTCTTTAGGCTTTACTTTTATCTCTTTAACTCGTTTATAATGCTTAACATATGCCTAAGGGTGCTTACAAGTGAAAGAGAACGGAAAACGAAACACAGAACAAACATACAAAATTTCAGAAAATAGGGTCCCCGCTCGAACGGACCCAAGAGGCCTGCAAAAGTACTGGTTACCTCAAAATTACGCTCGAGCGTGAGTTAGGGCGCTCGAGTGGAAGGCCTGCCTACAAAAGCTCCCCGCTCGAGCGTGAAATATCCCGCTCGAGCGAACATCCAACTCTGCAAAAAGTGCTGGGAGCACGAAATTTACGCTCGAGCGGCGGTTTCCCCGCTCGAGCGGACACCAAAATTCTGGAAATTCCAGATTGTGTTCTTGAGCTCCCTTCAAACATTCCAACCACATTTCTTGCTTAACATGGCTCCAACTTCACCTATATTTGTACTAACATGATATAAATACCAAAACACATCATCATAGAGCTCAATTTCATGAATTAACCACATGCATGTCCCAAATTGGCACTAAACTCAACTCTAACATAACAATTTCGCACATTCAAGCTCATATCTTCATAAATTGTACATGCATGTGATGAATTAGTCACATTCTCAACTTAGACAACACAAATGGTGATCAAAACATGAGTTTCAACCAAAACTCTACATGAATCATGTATTTCAAGCTTATACATGCTATTTCAAAACAATTTCTTACATGCATGCATATATCAAGCTTTAATTCCAACAAAACCAATTTAACTCATGCTCTTGGTCACAAACAACCCTTGAACACACGAGATCACACATTAATTTCATGAATTCAAGAATCAATACTTACCTATAAGCCCAGTCTATGGCTAATTCTTGAACTAGACTCCAAATCTCCAAGCTTGAGTCACAAATTACACAATTCTCTCCCTCTCCCTCTTTAACAGCCGGCTCTCTCTCCCTTTCTCCAAGTTTGATCAGCCAAAATGAATACATAGGAGAGAATGGGAAGTGTAGTGCCCTTACCCAACCATTTCCACTAACTCATAATAATAATAATAAATAATTGGGCACCAATTTACCAATTTAATCAACTTAATCTGGTCTGAATCAATTTTTCAATTAAATTTCACCGTAGGCTCTAAAAATTATGCCAATCACGATGGCGTAATCGATTCCGGGTTCTGTGGCCGATAAGGCCCTTAATTTAATTTCCAAAGCAGATTATTCAAATAGATATTCCTACGGTGAACAGATAAAACTTCAAAACCACATATATTCGCATAATGGCACACAAAATCATATCAAAACATATAATCACATTCTTATTTGGGACCAATTAGCATAATATAGAACAGGGGCCGAAGAATGCCAAAGAATGCCTGTAGTTGTTCACTCTACCTTATCAGGAACTATGATTCCTCTGTTTTTTTCTCTCCTATTTTTTATTCGACACCCTTTGATCATGGCATAACCCAAACACCTATACACTGTGCTCAACAAATACCACAAATTACACTATGGGTAGCCAGTTTGAAAGTAACCTCAAATGCTTCCTCATCCGATCTCTTTACAACAATCGCGGTGACTCTATCTTCTTCAACGATACACGAGGGGACTATCCTGACAAAGTTTATGGTCTATTCCTCTGCAGCGGTGATGCTCCAGCCAGCGTCTGCCAGAATTGCATTGACGTGGCCAGCAATGAGATTGTTAAAGATTGTCCCTTCAAGAAAGTGGCAATTATATGGTACGATGAGTGTTTGATTCGCTATTCTTACAGATTCTCCAATCTGAGTATTGTGGCAACTTCCAATCCTTCGAATCAGGTATAGAAGGCCCCGAGCAATTCCATTAATAATAAAAAGGTGTCTCCTCCAATCTAGTTGCGTACTTTATTTGAATCTAGAAAGAAAACAAACAAGCAGTCAAGTCGATTACAATCTTTAGTAATTAACTTTTAGCTTTTATTTGGTTGGAAGTGACTAGGATTTAAAAGGGTCTGGACCAAAGAGAAAGACATCTAGGCTTTTGTTGGGCATGTACTCGTAGATGAGTAGTAACCCATCTTCCTCCAAGAAACAACCTAGCAGTCTAACAGGATTCATATGTTGTAGTCTTGCAATTAAAATAACTTCATTCTTGAACTCTCGTAATCCTTGGCCAGAACTTCTTGAGAGTCTCTTAACTGCAATTTCCTTGCCATCTAATAATGTATCGTGTAAACATTTTGAAGTCATGCAACAATCGTTAATAAGAAATGGCTACATTAATGCCTATTTATGGTTGTGTTGGTCCTTTAAATTTAACCCTGCATTGTCAATCACCTAGTGCACCATGTTACCCATACATGTAACAAACTATGATTTATATCCTTCAAAGATTATTGTTAGCACCATAAGTACCTTGTAAACTGGACCAAATCCACCTTCTCCATGCTTATTTTCTTCAGAAAAATGTTTTGTAGCTGCATGTATAAGATCTAACTGGATTGAAGGAAAGTCTTGTGATTTTGTGTGCTTGTCGCGTAGCAATTTTTTACTGTTGTATTCATCACCAAATTGTCCTCCCAAGTCAAGTAATTGGACTTCTTGGCTGTTTTCTTTCTCTTCTACAGCAAAAAGAAAAATAAATTAACATATTGGGTTGTAAACATGTAATCGGATTGTGGCAATGACTAAAAGAATGTAGTTACCTTTCTTTGCTCTTTTCCTTCTCCTTTGGTAGTAGATACAAGCACCAAGTAGAGATAGCACTAGGAATGTTGATAGAGTTATGCTGATACTGATTGTAATTGTTTTTCCTTTCCTACCTTCTAAAAACAAATGGTTTAATTTTAGCCACTATTTAAATCATGCCCATTTTCATTTAATTTGAATTAATGGAAACATTTTTTGAAAGGAAAATATATATATATATATATATATATATTTTCCTTTCAAAAAATGTTTCCATTAATTCAAATTAAATGAAAATGGGCATGATTTAAATAGTGGCTAAAATGATACCATTTGTTTTTAGAAGGTAGGAAAGGAAAAACAATTGCAATCAGTATCAGCATAACTCTATCAGCATTCCTAGTGCTATCTCTACTTGGTGCTTGTATCTACTACCAAAGGAGAAGGAAAAAAGCAAAGAAAGGTAACTACATTCTTTTAGTCATTGCCACAATCCGATTACATGTTTACAACCCAATATGTTAATTTATTTTTCTTTTTGCTGTAGAAGAGAAAGAAAACAGCCAAGAAGTCCAATTACTTGACTTGGGAGGACAATTTGGTGATGAATACAACAGTAAAAAATTGCTACGCGACAAGCACACAAAATCACAAGACTTTCCTTCAATCCAGTTAGATCTTATACATGCAGCTACAAAACATTTTTCTGAAGAAAATAAGCATGGAGAAGGTGGATTTGGTCCAGTTTACAAGGTACTTATGGTGCTAACAATAATCTTTGAAGGATATAAATCATAGTTTGTTACATGTATGGGTAACATGGTGCACTAGGTGATTGACAATGCAGGGTAAAATTTAAAAGACCAACACAACCATAAATAGGTATTAATGTAGCCATTTCTTATTAAAGATTGTTGCATGACTTGAAAATGTTCGGAGGGTACATTATCAGATGGCAAGGAAATTGCAGTTAAGAGACTCTCAAGAAGTTCTGGTCAAGGATTACGAGAGTTCAAGAATGTAGTTATTTTAATTGCAAGACTACAACATAGGAATCTTGTTAGACTGTTGGGTTGTTGCTTGGAAGGAGATTAGTCACTACTCATCTGTGAGTACATGCCCAACAAAAGCCTAGATGTCTTTCTCTTTGGTCCGAACCCTTTTAAATCCTAGTCACTTGCAACCAAATAAAAGCTAAAAATGAATTACTAGAGATTGTAATCAACTTGACTGCTTGTTTGTTTTCTTTCTAGATTCAAATAAAATATGCAACTAGACTGGAGGAGACACCTTTTTATTATTAATGGAATTGCTCGTGGCCTTCTATACCTGCACGAGGATTCCTGTCTCAAAATAATTCATAGAGATCTTAAAGCTAGCAGCATTTTGCTGAATCATGAGATGATTCCCAAGATATCAGACTTTTGGAATGGCTACAATTTTTGGGGGAAATCAAAGTGAAGCCAACAAATATAGAGTGTTTGGAACATAGTAACCCTCTTCTTTTTTTATACACATGTATACATACATAATCAGTCATTTTATTTTGTCTAATGACTCTCTTGATATTATTTGTGATGCTTTTATCTGTAATAGTGGATACGTGGCTCCAGAGTACGCTATAGAAGGATTATTTTCTATTAAGTCCTGTTGGAGATAATAAGTGGAAGAAAGAATATCAGCTTTTAACTTTCTGAGCATGGTCACAGCTTCCCCATCTTTGTATGCTCCTAGCTAAACAATTGCTTTTAGTTATCTCTCTGTCTTTAAAGAAAGAGGCATTCTGAAGAAACATTGATTGATTTTAATTGCATTACTTGCTACAATGCCACAAGCATAGAAATTATGGTCTGAAGGTCAAGGATTGGAATTGATGGACCCATTACTGGTGCAATCAAGTGTTGTAGACGAAGTGTTGAAGTGCATCCACATTGGATTGTTGTGCGTCCAGGAAGATCCAGCAGATAGGCCAACTGTGTCATCCGTAGTTGTTATGCTAGCAAGTGATACAATGACACTTCCTCAATCAACAAAACCAGCATTTTCTATTGATCGACTAGTCTTCAAATCAACCCAATCCTCACCAAATGTTAATGAACTCTCTGTTAACAAGGTAACTTTTTCAGATGCATCACCCCGACGATTTTTTACCATTAAATCCTTCTTTTTTTAGTTCTATGTAAAGATTCATGGACTGACAAGTGTATTGATAGAGTAATCCTATATATTTGTTTATATTTTGTTTTCTTTAAATCCACCAATTTATTTTCCACTCGTTTGGAAACAATGGTTCTAATATTTTTGGATTAATATGCGGGGAAAGTCAGAAATTCACATCAATATCAACATTCCAATCAAGAAGATGTTGATATTAGTGTCACGTCCCAAGCTCCGTGACAACGCCGCACACTCATTTAAGTGAGCATGCAAGGCTAAGAGTCCAACACATAACCAACAATGTAAAATACTTCAATTAAATCCTTAATTATCATAATGCTAAAATCCATAAAAATTGATTATTCTTATCTTATGAAATTATCCACCAAGTCCACTAATAAAATCCATTAACAAAACAATAATCCAAGTACTTAAATCATAGTCCTACTCTCGGCACTCCCACATGTAAAAATCCCGCACAACTCTACTCTTCAGAATCTGAAAAAAAAATAAGGGTAAGCTAGATAGCCCAGTAAATAACCAACCATCACTGCTAGCTGGATCAAGTATACAATAAATAAATAAATAAATCGATAACTAATAAATATAATCTTTTCTACAGTTCAATAAATGAACAATTATTTGTAAGATGGTTTCATAGCTAAAAATAAACAATGTACAATACATTTTAAATGAAAAGCCAACAAGATAATTCAAAGTAATTCGTTGTTCAAATCGATGGTTCGATATTCAGATAGTTCAATGATTTGATTCACAAAACCCAAGTCTTAATGACTACGGTCACTTAGCCCGTGACAAGGCCCAGAACCACACATAGGCCGGTGGTAAAGCCCCAAAAGAAACTAGTTTCTGTGCCAATAAATAACCCCCATTGGCTAAGGTCCAAATCATAGTCAGACTAGAGTGATGTTCAAAATTCAAACAATACACAACTTTTAAATAAAACATTTGATATTTTCAGAATAAATGTTTAGTACAATTTTCAGAATAGTTTCACCAAATATTCAAATAATTTTCATAATAATATTCGATGTTATTTTATACTTGACCCATATTTTATTTTAAGAGAACATGAAGGCTATAAATAAATATTTATGATTTTAAACGATTCGATAGGTATAAAAAGAGAAAAGTTAGAGAACATGAATTTTTTTTCATGAAAATGATCATGAAAGAGTTATGATCTTTGGAATACCTTGATTAGTGTGTGGTGCTTTATTCTAAGTGTAATCCAAGGGTCACAAAGCTTTCATGATTATTTTCATAAAAGATTTTTCATGATACCTAGCATTGCTGGTATAAAAATGAACCAACAGTGATAGAGGGTTACTTATCTCAAACAGCTAAAATAATATTCCAACACTAACTCCAAACACTCAGTTCCACCACTTTAATCACGCAAACCTAATAATTAGAACCTCAAATAAATTAATATTTTTGTGTCTTTCACGCATCCACAAAACCCACTATATGTATGAAAAGCTCAAGAAATACCAAATCATTTCTCCAAATTAATAGCCAAACACACCTTATCTAAAATACCCAACTCTATTGTCAAAACTACACCCATACAAGTACTTTTATCATCAACCTACACAAGCACTATACATGTTGAACCTTACATTCATTATGCGTCCCCACAAGATATCTTTTCCATCCCTTTTCTCTGCCTATTGATCTATTACATATAATAAACAATAGTGTAAAAGAAAAGTACCTTGATCAATGAGCATCAAGAATGCTCCCCTCAATTTCCCACCGCCACTTCCAACCAATCCTCTGCGCAATTGAGAGCAAAATAATATAAAACCCTTTCCCCTTCTTTCCTTTTTTTTTTCTTTTAAAGGGTTAAAAACCTAATTCTTAAGATTACTAAATTACCCATACAATTTATTTTAATTATTAATCTATCCAAAATAATTCTATAAATAAGTTGGGTTTTACAATTAGAGTGAACAAAATGAGATTTGTTCAGCTTTGCAAAGCAAAAACAGGATAAAGAAGTCAGTGTTAATAGAATTGCTGATATATACATACCTACATACATATATCCTTTTTGAAGTGGAAAGATTCATAGTGTCAAAATGGAAATCTTGCCCCCCCAAAAAAAACATGGAAATCTTGAGAAGCAATTGATAATGGATTCCAGTATTTAAATATATATCTATATATATATATATATATCTTTAGGCAAAGTAAGTTTTGCTATTGATCGAGGAATCTCTCTAAGGTCGGGTATATCCACCTTTATAGATTGAATATTGGATATACACAATCACCCACCCACCAACCTCTCCATAAACATCTGTATCAAATTCTATCCATGTTCATATCTAGGGTAACTTGGCTGTCTAGATACAAATTCGAACTTAATTGGGTTATGTGGGCGGCAGATGATAGAATGAGCACTTTTAAATAAAAAAAATATCCAGAGAACTTTACAGAAAATAATACACTTCATCACAGCGACATCAGGCTATGTTAATTAATACGGCTTGTGTGGGGATATATTTTCTGAGTCCCAAAACGTGGCCAAGGTGACGCCGACGTGTAAGCCGAGGTGCCACGTGTCCAGGTTATGACACCGAAGTGATCTCGGTTAGGCCGAGGTTATCTCCGAAGATATCGAAATCCGAGATAAGCGGATAGGGCACAAGAGTCATAGAATGAGGAAGGACTTTAGCATGGATAAGGATAACACTCTTAGGGAGTTTATCTTTATCTCTTGGAGAGTCCAGGATAAACACTGAGCAGAAGTCCATTGAAGCTAGGCTTCTATGGGGACTAGGATTGAGTTAACTATAAAAGAGAGGCGCCCTCATGGGTCTAAGGTACGCAGTTTATATTCTGAACAGTGAGTTTAGCACTATTGATTATCTTTGAGAGATATACTGACTTGATCGTAGGAGTGCCCCCGGGTGGACGAACCACCGCCGGAATCTTCTCTTTCTGTTGCAGGCCAGACAGGTGTCGTCTATTCTGCCAGTGCTCTCCAGCTGAATACTGAGTTGGCAGTGTGATCGAAAATTCACTCACACAATTTGGCGTCATCTGTGGGAAAGAAAGGAGAATAGATGGCCAGCAACGGACAGAAGGGTAAGGTTGGGGACGAAATCCCTGTTGGGATTGGAAAACATGTTGACCCAAACATGGAGGAAGATGGTCGCAATGAGGAGACTCAAAACCAAAATACAGCAAGAAAAATGTCGGCCAGGATGGCGACGTGCCAAAGAAACCAGATCGAAGTGGATACTACAACGAGGACGACCTCCAGGTATGGAAGGATAGATGCCTACGGAGGGAAAAAGAGGTGAAAGAGATGGCAAACAAGTTGGTAGACCTGCAATCGGTCGTCAATTTTATGATGCAAAATAACGTCATGCAGCCACCATTCCTGTTGCAGGACACGCCGATTCCAGCGGCCAATGCCCAGAATGGAGGACAGAAACTAATCCTAATAGCCCTTCAGCATACCAGAAGCAAAAAACACTCTCACTGGCCTTCCAGGAAGGTCGGGCGAGGGGAGTCAAGGAGAGAAGAGTCATGACGGACACATCGCACTAAAGAAGCAGACCCCAAAGAACATCGGCATGTTCAAGGGCAGAAGCTATGCTTTGATACAACTCATGGAGAAGGGTCAAAGAGGGCTCACAATGAAGTTGAAAGCAGTGCACCTAAAAGACTGAAGTCAGGAGATAGCCGAGCTCCTGGTCGGACCAAAGAAGACTTGAGAGATTACCTCAAGAGGAAGCAACAAAACGCCGATGCCGAAGTAACCTCCCCTGATAAGCCGAGAACACCATTCTAAGTGGAGCTAGACAAATTTGAGGCTCCAAAGAGATTCAGTATGCCGATGTTTCAAATATACGATAGTAAGTCAGACCCCAACTTTCACGTTGGATTGTACCTAAATTCGA